CGCTAGACTAATCCCTACAGTGGAATCAACAAAAACAGAGCACGTCATCAAGTTATTCATGGATAACTGGGTGCGTGACTTTGAACTGCCCAAAACCATTGTCAGTGACAGAGATGTTAGATTCACAAGTGAACTGTGGAAGAAGGCTGTTGAACAGATGGGCAGTCAACTCCAAATAACTTTTGGGAAATCATCCCGAAGCAGATGGTCAAGCGGAACAGATGAACCGTGTGGTGCAGCATCTGCTGAGGCATTACATCAAGCCCAACCAAGATCACCGGGAGGATAAACTTCCTCTCATGGCCAGTCTGTACAATAACGTTGTACACAGCACCACCGGCGTCAGTCCCAACCAACTGAATTTGGGGTGGACGCCTACATCTTCTCTAGACTTCCTCCGGCCTGAAAATCGACCCACTGCAACGCCTGGAACCATTGAATTTGGTGTCCAGTATGAGAAACTGTTGCAGCAGGTTGTCGAGCTTATCAGAAAGTGTCAAGAGGCAATGATTGCCTCTGAGAACAAGCATAGACAACAGTCCACATTTCAGGTAGGCGAACGCGTCTGGGTAAAGGCTAGTGAGCTGGGACAGGAGTTTGGCATCTCTAGGAAGTTAATGCCGTAGAACTTTGGTCCATGGGAAGTCCTAGACATTGTGGGTAGTGATCTAGATGGTCCCTCATACATCATCAGAAACCCTGGTCATCTGCGCACTTACCCCAAACTTGCACCTTTTGCTGAGACAGATCTGTTCCCAACACGAAGGTCAATGGTGCCCCCAACCATGGATGGCCACGTGGACGTCGACGGCATCTTGGAACACAGAGATTTGCCCGTTCCCAAGCCTGCTGGCAGGTGTAGACCGCCCAAACCTATGAGGGAGTACCGGGTCAGGTTCAGGCATCATACAGATCCAAAAGAAGATGACTGGTTCACAAGACACGAGCTTGTCAAGACAGCACGTTAGATCGTGGCTGAGTACGAACGAAGACTGAAGGGGAAGGCACCTGCGTACTCTCACCATCTCTCTCGCTTTCGCACGCGCGCATGTTTTTTCTTTTTTTTTTCAAGGTGTCGATGGAATACAGATCAGATATGAAACTGATCAGGGCATATACTAAACTTGATCATTGTGGGAGGGAGGGGGAAGCGGGGTGTGTGGTTAGTTAGATTGGAGTCTCTCTCCCTCTCTCTCGCTTTCACGCATGCACACGCGCGAGCAGTTTTTTTTTGTTTTTTTTTTTCACAGGGTCTTGTTGGACGACGGATCAGATATTAAACCGATTGGAGCAGATACTACACTTGATCATGTTGGGGGGGGGAAGGCGGGGCGCCACGTAGTTAGCTAGAACAGGGTCTCTCTCTCTCTCTCTCTCTCTCTCTCTCTCTCTCGCGCGCGCGCGCGCGCGCGCGCGCGCTTTTGCGCATGCACGCGTGTGCGAATCTTCTTTTTCTTGAGAAAAAAGGTATCGATGGACCACCGATCAGTTATGAAACTGTTCGGAGAAGATTCTACACGATGGGGGGAGAGGGGTGACGGATCTCTCTCTCTCTCTCTCTCTCTCTCTCTCTCTCTCTCTCTCTCTCTCTCTCTCTCTCCCCCCCTGTGCGCCCGGGAAGAAACCCCGCGCACGATCTAGCATTTTCTTTCTTTCAATGGCGGCCGAAACTCTCTCTCTCTCAGTCTCTCTCTCTCTCTCTCTCACACACACACACACACACACACAGAGTGCCCGCCTAACATTTTTTCTTTCTTCTAGTGGAGGGGACTGAAGGGGAGCGCAGGCAGAGGTGCGCTGGTGGGGAAGCGCTAGCATAGGGGGTGGAGGTGAGCGCTTGCGGAGGGGAGTGGAAAGGAACGTAGGTTGAGGGAAGCACTGGCGGAGGGGAGTGGAAAGGAGTACAGGCGCAGGGGAGCGGTGGTGCAGGAGAGCGCTTGCGAAGGGGTGCGCTGGCGGAGGGGAGCGGAGGGGAGCACGGGCGCGAAGAGCGGCGGAGGAGGGGGTGGACGGGCGGTGGATCAGTGGAGATGGAGTAGCTGGGGGGTGGAGAATGGCGGAGGAGGGGAAAGGGCCAGAGGAGCAGCCAATAGGTGGAAGAGCAGCGGAGCAAGGGGGGGAGCGCAGGCGGAGGGGAGCGGCCAGAAGGGAGTGGAGGGGAGCGCTGGCGAGCGCTGGCGGGGGTTGCGCTGGTTAAGGGGAGCGCTGGCGGAGGGGAG